GAATTTTGATTATGTGAAATGTGAATATATTGAGATGGCAAAGATGAAGCATGACATAATGTGGATTTCAAATAAAAAGTTACTATGAAAATGGTAATGTTTTCCATTTTATTTAGGAATGACTAAGAGGAAACATGCTAAGTTCTACAGGACAAAACAGTATCTTTGTACATAAATGAAGGTCTAAACTTAAAGAGTATTATTGGAATATGATACAAAAACTATTTTGTGCTGTTTTTTACAAATTTATTTTTGACCGTGATAGCTTAGGTGTTAGACATGTAGAAAAATGACCTCCAGATACTGTCACTAATTCTAAGGATTTATATGTTTATAGAGAAATAACAGATATGATTTCTCAGAATGCCACCTAAAACTTTTCCCAATAAATGTACTTTCAAAATACCATGGCATTCTCTAGGTGTTCTCTAGTGTCTCTATTGTTTCATCAGATGAACAAGAAGAGTTTCATAAAATCTTTATGAACAAAATGACTTTTTAGAGCACTCTCTGCAAGCATTCTTCCCTCAATTCTGTATCTATCTCCAGCTACCCTCTTTCTCCCCACAGAGCTAAAGTTCTAAGAGTAGTGTGTATTCACAGTCTTCACCTTCTTACCTTACATTTATTCCTCAATCTACTTTGGCCAATATCCATAAGTGAAGTGGCTGTTGCTAAGGTCAACAGAGTCCAAACATAACTAAATTATCTCACAGGAACGTTCTGTTGCATTAGCATACTTAGCCCATCCTTTTTGGAATGTTCTCTTTCTTTGATCTCTGTAACACTACACATTTCTGGCTTCCTTTATCCTTCTATGATCATTTCTTCTCAACTTCCTTTGCTGGCTTATTCTCTTCCACCCAGCCATTAGTTGCTGAATTTCTCAGGAGTTGCTCATAGCCCCTCCTCTCTCATTCCACTCTCTTCTAGAAAAGTTTACCATATCTTTGACTTCAATTTCCAACTATAGGTCAGTGATTCCACCCCACACTTTATTTCAAATCTCTAGGAATGACCTTTACTCTAGACTGCAAGCACAAATAACCAGACATTTCCCAACCTCTCAATGTAAATGTCTTAAATATACCTTAAACTAACCATGTTCAAATAATCACACTCTTAATCACTACCATCAAAAAAGATCTTTTTCCAACGTTCCTTTTAATATCTTTCATCCAAGTGCACAAGGCAGAAACTTAGTAACATTTTTAACGTTTACCTTTTACTAAATCCCATGTCCATTTCTTCACCAAAGACTGTTAATTAATTATTACGTCCTAAGTATCTCTTATATCTCTGTACTTCTTTCTATCTGTATTGTCAAACCCTAGTCTAAACCACCAACATCTCTCTCCTGGATTTTTGTAAACATTTTGTAGTATACCAACTACAGCGTTGCCCTCTATAATCTGAAAAAAAAAAAAAA